AGGACTTCGGATTTTCATAGTTTGACATTACCATTTATTTATGGAACTCCCGAAGGATTGCAAGAATTTTTATCCACGAATGAGATGGTGATGATTTATGCATCAAAGCCACCGATGGACGTGTTGCCAGGACCTCGATTTATTCGTAAATCAGATAGGATAATTACAAGTGAGCAAACAGAACGAGATGACATGATTAAAACTTCATTGAAATTTTGGCATTCTGGTAACAAGGAACGAGAAATGAGATTTCCAACACGCCTTGCGCTCTTCCTGAGTGACGCATATTCACCGAAATCATTCGATGATGTTCTAAAGATCGGTGTAGATGGGAAAAACATGAACGTTCCAGCTGCCGGAAGCGTATTAATGTGGGAGCTTAACCGAATAATAGGAAATATTAGGAACGAGAATGATTTACAAAATTAGAAATTGCTTTCTTTATATAAAGGCTTTACTCGTGTAAATTTCATTGTAACAGCTTTATTCGTGTAAATATATTAAAATAAAAAAAATCCGTGTTTTGCCGATAACAACCTTTACAAATGTTCTTGCCATTAAAAAGATGTCTCACATGGAATTACTCAAACGATACTTTGATTCTGATTATGCTTATTTAACATTGAATAAATACATACAATAATAATATATAATATACATAATATACAAAGAAATATATCAAATGAAGATAAAATATAAACAAATGAATTATTTAATTTAGGCATTAATCAATTTTCTCCATAGCCAGTGACTGATGGTCACCTTAATATCAGCAACAAACTGATCTAAAACTTTTTCATGGTTCTGCTGCCCAACTTCCCTGCAAATAACATTCACCATCAATTTATTAATTCCATCTCTTTCCGAACCCGAGCTTCCGACAGTTGGAGGTAGAATAAAGTGAATAAAAAGATCATGGGGGCTAAGTATCATCAAATGACGAGTTTGCTCAACGTACAATTCCCTTGATTCTTTTGAATAATAAGCGAGTAGAAAGTTTAGCAGTTCCGTCCAATTTAGGGAAAGGGTCAAGATATGACAGAAATTAGAATTGATTGTGTCAAGTTCACGAGTTTGACAAAGCTCAATTAATTCTTTCAACTCTTCGACGTTGATGTGGTGTGAAGTACGATTTCTATTTAGTGTGTAAAGCTGATCCCATAATTTGTCCCGTCGATGGTATGTTATCGCCTTGAAAAGAAAATATATATTATTATTATTATTATGTTTGTAAAAGAAGAAATTTAAATAGATATCTCACCTGACGCGTAATCGATTCAAGCTTTTGGCAACAACGAATTTTTAATTTGCCTTGGTAGTCTTCTCTCGACTTCGAATATCCATCATTATCATGAAATGCGATAACATGATATTCGATGTATATTTTTCCAGCAACACATTCAGTATTCGGCGGTAAAGAAAGTACCATAATGCATGGTATGAGTTCCTCTTTTGAAAGAGTGCTCTCAAATCGCTTATCCGCACGAAAATCACATAATTCGCTTGAACAGCTGTTCCCACAAACTGACTTGGCGAAGCACGCAATCGGTTTGTCGCCGAAAATTATCGGATAAAGTCCAAAATAATGAGGATGAGCGACGATATAATCGAATAAACCGTCTGGTATTAAATCCGATTCTTCGCTAAAAATGTAATGATAAACCCGATGACGCACGTAATTTGAATTATGAGAAATGCTTCTGAGAATTTCAATTATATTAAATTTGAGAGGATTCTTCGTCGACTTTTCTAATTGTTGCTTGATATAGCGAAGATGAAAGTCGTAAATAAAATTATTCACACGAATTTTTTTCTTAATCACTCCGCATTCCTCTGTAAATGTTCTCATACTCTCCCTATCGTAACCGACCGAAGAAGATCCCGGTATAACTACGCGAATCTTACCATAACGTCGATTAAGCATGTGCAAGGTAACGAACACAATTTCCTTTTGAATCTGCACTTCACATATAATTGTTCCACCTCGTAGTGCTTTCAGTAAAAACGTCGTGGGAAACTTATCCGATGCTTTGTCCGATTTAACTGATTCAGAATCTCCGTCGTCCACACCATACAATTTCTGCATACCAGTATCTTCAAGATAGGTTAAATACTCGTTTGAGAATGCGGAAATCATATCATTATACAAATCTGACACATCCTCGTTGAATATAACTTTTGCCCTATCACAATGCAAAAGTCGTGACGTACGAAATATAATTTCGAAATCGGATCTCGAGATTTTTTCACTTCCCTCACCGTTATCCTCAATTCTTTTTTTCCACTTTTTATACACATTTCGAGCATTATCGTGGGCCAGGGATACCTTGTTTTGGCGATCCCATTCTTCAATGAATGACATTCCATGTCTTTTGAGAGCATCAATACCTTCTGAAGATTGTTCATTCTCCGAAAACAGTTCGATATATGTTTCTTTCAATACTTCGTTTAAGTCCATCGACGTGAGTAACACTTGATTGACATCCAATTCTATGTTGTGTGAAACTTGGTTTTTCTTATTTTCATTGGATTCTACGTTGTTTGGAGCTGGATTTTTTTTAGTTCCATCGACTCGTTCATCAAGTTTTGGACGAGGAGGAAATCGATCATTAATTAACGAATTCACAAGTGACCAATCTGTAACTGGTGCTGCAGCCTTAGCGGCATTCAAACCCGGCTGAGCTTTAAAGGAAAATCCATTGGTATGATAGAACAATCCCATTTTCTGATGAAGTACGTTATTAAGTAGTTTGATTCGCTTGTTTTGCCAATCAGAAATTTTTGTCATCGCCGTAAATACATAATCTGAGCTATGTTTCTGCCAATTGTAAATATAAATTGACAGACCGAACCCATCGATTGTCATAAAAAGGAAACAAGATCGGAATAGCTTAAATGTCTTTGTATTATCTCTATTATCACTAGAGGGAGTTATGGTATGTGTCATAATCTCTTCTAGGAGATGACGTTGCGATGCTGACGCGTAAGAACTCTTTCTGGAATGTGCTCCGTCGGTAGTACCCATGAGTGATTCCAATTGTGTGTCATCGATCTTTTCAGATAATCCGTATCTTTGATTCAATTCCTTGAGACCTGCAATTATCAGGTATTGATGAGGATCCATTTTCATCTTCTCTTTCATCAGGGTGGAATTTTTTGGTCGATATATTTCATACATAACATTCTCCTCTCCAACCATAGAGGCGTTAGGTTTCGTTCTTAGAATGATGGGTGTGAAAATATGATGAACACTTGATAAAACTTCCCGAACTTCATTCAAAAAATCGTCCATCATCCATGACGGCATATCTAATTGCACTGTCAATTTAACCAATGTTGGATTTTCCAAGTCCACCGCTCTGCCAATTAATTCCAATGATGGTTTAATAAATGCTTCTTGGACTCGTGGATCGATGTACTCCACTGCAGATGTTTCTTTTATATCGGTGCCATCGTGATCATCCACGGGAATCCCTTCTTTGTATTCATCCACAGGATGTTCTTCCTCATGACCTTTCGCAGAAAGCTCCTCATAGTCATCCACAGAAGTTTCTCTCCTCTGATTGTCCTCGGAACGATCTCTATCGACATCCAAAGTACCATTGTCCACAAAGTTTTCTGGCTCACGGTCCAAACCTTGAGTGATTGCAACCTCTATAAAGTAATCACATAGACATTGCCTGAAGCTCTTTTTCATATATTCAAATAGTTTATCCAAATTGAGCGTGCTCTCTGTCCAAAGTTCAACGAACAATCTGTAATCATATTTATTGTTAACATCGTATAAAATAGTCTCTTCTTTTGAAATATATTTCAATATATCCGACATGTCATTATCGCCCATATAAATTTGTTCCGAGGGAAGCTCATAGACTGGTCTTCCATCACTGTCGATTAATGTCAAACAAATTCCAGCAATTCCCTCTCCAACGCTTAATTCAATTGGCGTCCGTGTGGAGAAATTATAATAGAATGAAAATTCCCGGAGTCGAATATCATAGGGCGCTCTTTTGAAACGAGAACAAATTGATTAATGGAACATGCATTGGCAACGGAAAAAAGAAATATGGCATGATAGACATATAAAAAACCTTTCATTGTCCACACTTCTATCAATATCGCTACCAACAATTCCATAGAGGCTTTCATGATGACGCTTAATAACAGCGGCTACTTCTTCCCCACTTAATGATTTCAAATAACCAGAGATTTGACCAGAAATATTTTGATTGAAATACACTAAAAAAGCGTATATATTTTTAATTGAAGTTGGGATACCTAACCAAAGGTTCTTAGGAGTTCTATGTATTGGCAGTATGTATTCCACATCCTACATGAGACAGAAGATTTATTCAGTATTTTTATATTAGAAGTGACTTTAAAAATTCCATGTATACCTCTTTTGTAAGTGCGGCGTTTCGATTACGAGCAAGAAAGGAAGACATGATAGGAAGCGTCGCAGTGGGTATTACTTTTGTTTCTAAACTAGATATCAATCCCTTTAAGATTTCTTCGCTTTCTTTGCCTGGTACGTTCAAGCCAAACACATCCACCACCAACTCTCTTCCTACGGTCCTGGATCTTGGGGCTACTCTTGGAACAAAAGGTGCAGCCAGACCATTATTCCCGGCATCAGCATTGATTAAAGGAGATGCCTCCGTAATGTTTTCTATGGTTTCATTGGTTTCTACTTCGGATAATTTAATGTACACAATATTTTTATCAACAGAATAAACAAACATGTTTTTGCGGTTCAAGATAGATAATGGGCCAAGTTTATCATTAGCTATACTCAAAACAGCATTTGGTGACACTCGAAAATGAAGAGGAAGTGCGCGTCTGTAAATAATCGGACAACTGAATTGACCAACTTTAAATTTCTTGGTTAGTTGCCCTTCGTTTGATTGCATATCATCTTCTTCTGATGTAGGGTCGTAATCGGTGGAGTCATCAGGGGGTACCAAATATTTGCTACAATGTGAAATGAGTATGAAATAAGAACAATATAGTATACACGTATCACGGATGACCAAAAATTACCTGCAGAGACGTTTTTCATTAAGTTCTTCTAATAATATCAATCTATTAACTCTCTCAGATATTTTTACTATACAATTTCTTACATGTCTCATAATTCGTGACCGCTCCATAGCAGTTATAGCTTTTGAATAAAAGTATACTTGAATACTTGTTTCTTGAGGGATAAGTAACAACCAAAACAATTGTTTGTGCCTAATATTCTTTTTGGGAGACATCTCGGCTCCACCTGAATCACCCATGTTCTCACGCGAAGTAAGGCTTATCCCGAGCCCCGAAGCATACCCGTTATTGACATTCTGATCCGCACCCTCGTCATTCGAAGTTTCCATCACGAGAACTTGCTGCGACTCAGTACTGCCAAGGCTATCATCAGCATTAAGCGTTGCTACCTCCAAAGACTCGGGAATCTCATCATCTAAGCTAATGTAGAAACAATCTTCAACTTGATTTAATGAATATGGTCTCATATCTGCCTTACTAAACTCTTGAAGAAATCGAACTGGTCCCTTATCTTGACGAACAAAAGACAATGGCACGGTAAAAGTTGTCGGAAAATCAACGAAAGGATTTCCTTTCTTCTTCAACTGCTTTTGTATAAATGCGAGTACCGATCGATTTACGTTTTGAGTTTTCAAGAGTTCATGCATTATCTCCTCTTTTAATAGCCAGTCAATTCGATCAATGCTTTCTATTAAGGCCTCTCGTTTATCCGTGGTCAATAAGTTCAAGCTTGAATTGATTCGATCATCGGACTTATCAAACAAATCATCATCTGATTTTTCAAATAGTCTTTCCAAGCCATAGTCTTCTTCACCGATATCCTCCACCCGTGGCAATGCTAGGCAAATTATTCGTAAAGTAGCTGTCGTGCCGTCTGACGACTCGACCGGAGAAGCGTCGGTCCCAATTGATTTAGGTGTAAAATCATATGATCTACCTTCTGACTCACAATGATATGTTATAGGTAAACTTGCCACGGGAAACCGGACGACCTCATATCCCGCAACTTTGAATTCTTTTGGGTTAGGATCAGAGTCAGCGTGTTCTGACAGAGGCTTTCTGAAAATACACTCCAATCGGATGAACAACGGGTTTTCTGAACAATTGAATGTCTCCAAAAAATTTCCAAAGATATCGGTATTGTCAATAACATCGGTGCTCAATTTCTTTATGCGATAATAATAATAGGTATCTTCCAATCCATCTCCGTCAAAGTTGGCAGGTTCAAAAAAATGACCAAGTACGGCGGCAAACTTTTGATAGACGTCATTTGCATCTTCTTTTTCCGCGCCCCCCAAAACATGCACATTCACATACCCGGTAATGTCGATATTGAGATTAATTTGTTCGCACGCATCAATAGCCATACGAAAATCCTCTACTTTCACTTTACGCTTTTGCAAAATACTTGAGTAAATTGACTTTACAAATCCACGGGCATATAAATTCGACACAATTTGAATGGCTCTGTCGAATTTATTTTCCTGCACCTCCTGGTCTTGTTGGTCAGCTTGATTACATGTGCCCTTATTTACCGAGCCTCCAATTAACCTTGGCTTCAACGAACTTCCCAATGGATTTGAAAGTTCAAGATCGAGCAAACCTTCTTGGAAAGAATTAGGCCCCTCTTTAGGTTCACCGTATAGCGGCTTTTGTCGCTCACATAAAAATATAAACAAGCTCAAGTAACACGGTTTGTCCTCAACGTACTTCCCTTTTTTTTGGATCATCTCATTTAACAAAGTCATGAGTGAGGGGACAAAAACAAGAAGGAAGACATTTGAACTCATAAGTTTAACGAAACATCGCGATCCCTGAAGGTCGTCAACGCGTATTGTGGTCGCAGCGGTTTCGTCCGTTGATAGGCCATTTATTTCCTCCTTGAACAAACCCTTACAAATATCTTTCGTCGTATCAATTTCCCAGTTAGTATACTTGATTAACGTTCTTTCGAAAGAAATATGCAGTAAAAGTAAATCTCTATCCGAAATCTTCATATCCGCGATAAAATCATGATCAATAGAGTCAAAATTCTTATCCTGAATGCCATATTCT